TTTTTGGCGGCTTGCGGGTTGTTACTTTGTAAACCTTTTCTCTCAGTCTTCTGTTGCACCTTGTCCTCCTTGGAGCTCTTCCATTGTCCCCCGGCCCTTGCCTTTAGAAAGCCCTCAGGACAGCCTGCCTTTGGTGTAGAAGTTTGGCTGCTCCTGTTCTTGCTTCACTGGGCGACACCGTGTTCTTTTCTACTGCTCTAGGCAGAACTGCCATTTCTGAGGCAGCTCCTGCACTTAATTTCTGTGCATCAAGTATTAGATCAGGTCGGAACATTTAAACCAGTGTTTGCAAATTTGAGGTTGTTGCATCTGAATTAGGGAAGCTTAAAAAAAGGGTGCACTAAACCCACCCCTGTGACAATCTTCTGAGACCATTATATGTATAAACAGATTTTTTAATGTGTTACACTATGTTCCGATATCTTAATCTACAAAAAATATTGAAATAGTTAATCTGTTTATTTCCTAATGATTGAGTTTTCTTGTTCTTTAGTCACAAGTTGAGTCTAACTCTTTTCTGACCCCATGGACTGTTGCCCACTAGGCTTCTTTGTCCATAGGATTTCCCAGGCAAGAACACTGGAGTGGGTTGCCATTTCCTCCTCCAGGGGATATTCCCGACCCAGGCACTGAACCTGTGTCTTTTGCTTGGCAGGCGGATTCTTTACCACTGAGCCACCAGGGAAGCCCATACTTGCTCTTTTTTTCCTGCATCTGACAGTGGAAAGCACTTCTTCCCTTAAACCCTTCTCATCTCCTGCGATAGGACATTACTGCTTACTTCTTCCTTTTCCAGTATTTTCTTATGAACAATTGAAGCCTACAGAAGTACTGAAAGGATTGTACCCTGAAAACCCATGTACCTCCCACCTAAATTGTATAAAATTAACACGCATATGTATATTCACCCATCATTCAACCTTATTAAAAAAAGAAATTATCTGTTTGGCTGTACTGGGTCTTAGTTGCAACATGTGGGACCTTTAGTTTCAGCATGTGGGATCTAGTTCCCTGACCAGGAATTGAACCCAGACCCCATGCACTGAGAGTGCAGTGTGTTAGCCATTGGACCACCAGGGAAGTCCTTCTATCTTATACTTTGATGCATTTCTAAGTTTCAGGCATTGATAAATTTGCCCTTAAACTCTTTCAGCATAGGTGTATGCTTAACACTAGTATTTCTTTACGACTTTTAGTGGGAGGGGAAGTTATATGTTTGTGAGATGCACCTTAGCCGTCTCCAGTTGATGGGGTTTGGAAATGCACTGACTCATGCAGTACAAGCCCCTGTCAGGGAACAGGACCTGCTGTGGGAGTCAGACCCCACCCACCCCACTGGTTACCATCATGCTGAGAATTTTCGCTGTGGGTAAGATTTGACTGTCTGATATGAGAGAAATAATAGTTGCTCCTGGGGAAGATTCTTCTGTGTTGTTGCCCTGTTGATCGTTCTTGTTGCTGAGGAAGATCCCATTCTGTGAGTAGTTTGTTGTTGATTCTTCTAATGTGAACACCTAGGCTGTTTCTGGTTTGGGGTTATTATGAGTAAGGTTCTTATAAATATTCTTATAGAGCTTCCCTGGTGGCTCAGACGGCAAAGAATCTGCGTGCAAAGCAGGTGATGTGGTTTTGATCCCTGGGTTGGGAAGATCACCCAGAGAAGGGAATGGCTACCCATTCCAGTATTGCCTGGAAAATTCCATGGACAGAGGAGCCTGGTGGGGTTGCAAAGAGCCAGACAAAGCTAAGCAACTAGCACTTTTTTTTTTTTCAAATATTCTTATAAAAGTGTTTTTTGTGGGTAGCTGTTTTGATATTTCTTGGATAAATACCTAGATTTGGTATTATCCAAAGTAGTTGTTTGATTTCACACTCCTGTCAGCAGTGTGGGAGGGTTTCCCTTGCTCCACATCCTTACTAACATTCGATAGTGCTGGTTTTCAAAAAATTTTTGAAATGAAGCCTAAAATAGACGTAAGAATGTTCTTTATGTTACCATATAGCATAGTTGTTAGCTACATGTTTTGGGGAGATCCCCTTTTCAGGTTGAGAAATTTCCTTATTCTACTTTGCTGAGAGCAGAAATTATGACTGATGGTTGAATTTTGTCAGATGACTTTTCTGTATTAATGTAATTTTCTTTTCTTAGTCTAGTGAATTACATGGTTTTTGTGTTTGTTATTTTTTAAGAAAAGAAATTGTTAAACCAACCTCTATCCCTGGGATAAATTCCACTTGGTCCTTTTTAGTATGTGGATTGATTGGCAAACATTTTGTTAAGGATTTTTCATCTGTGTTCTTGAAGGGTAGGTCTGTAGATTTCATTTTCTGTTAGATCTTTGTCAAGTCTTGGCCAGCCTTGTGAAATGAATTGGGAGCTGTTTCTTCCTTTTTATTTTCTGGAAGAGTCTATGTAGAATTGATAACACCATGTTTAGTAGAATTCCCAGTGAAGCTATCTAGAATTGGAGTTTTCTTTGTGGGAAGGGTTTTAATTATGGAGTCAGTGTCTACACTAGATACCAGACTATCAGGTTATCTGATTTTCCTGAGTGAGCTTTTTCTTATGTTCTTTGAAGAGATTTGTCCTTGTCAGTTTAATTTCAAATTTATTGGCATTATGGTGGTCATATTATTTTCTCTCTGTAGGAACCATGGTGGTATCTCTGTTTATTTTTTGGCCACTCTGGGTTTTCGTTGCTTTGCACAGGCTTTCTCCAGTTGTGGCGAGTGGGGGCTTCTTTGTCGCAGGGTGCTGACTTCTCATCGTGGTGGCTTCCCTTGCTGCAGAGCACGGGCTTTAGGTGCAAAGGCTTCAGCATTTGCAGTTTGCAGGCTTAGTTGCACCCCGGCATGTGGAATCTTCCTGGACCAGGGATTGGACTGGTGTCCCTTGCATTGGCAGGCGGATTCTTATCTACTTGCCACTGGGAAAGTCCTCCCCTCTGTTTTTGACATTGGTGATTTATATCAGCTTTTTTTTTGACTAGTGGTCACATGACATTGATTTCCTTCTTTTTATCTTTAACCTCTCTATGATTTTGTATTTGAAGTGAAATTTTTGTAGACAGCATATAATTGTTGCTGTTGTTCAGTCTCTTAAGTTGTGTTCCACTCTTTGCGACCTCATGGACTGTAACATGCCAGGCTCCTCTGTCCTCCACTGTCTGTCTCCTGGAGTTTGCTCAAATTCTTGCCGGTGATGCTATCTAACCATCTTATCCTCTGCCACTCCCTTCACCTTTTGCCTCAGTCTTTCCTAGTATCAGGGTCTCTTCCAGTGCGTCTGCCCTTTGTATCACTTGGCCAGAGTATTGGAGCTTCAGCAACAATCCTTCCATATTCAGGGTTGATTTCCTTTAGGACTGGTTTGATCTCCTTGCTGTCCAGGGGACTGTCAATAGTCTTCTCCAACACCACAATTTGAAAGCAGTTCTTTGGTGCTCAGCCTTCTTTATGGACCAACTCTCACATCCATACATGACTGCTGGAAAAACCATAGCTTTCACTAAATGGACCTTTGCTGGCAAGATGATGTCTGCTTTTTAATACGTTGTCTAGGCTTGTTGTAGATTTTCTTCCAAGGAGCAGGCGTCTTTTAATTTCATGTTTGTGGTCACCCTCTGCAGGGATTTTGGAGCTGAAGAAAGTAAAATCTGTCACTGCTTCCACTTTTTCACCTAGTTGCCATGAAGCGATGGGATTGGATATCATGATCTTAATTTTTTGAATGTTTAGTGTTAAGCCAGCTTTTTTTACCCTCCTTTTTCACCCTCATCAAAAGGCTCTTTAGTTCCTCTTCACTTTCTGCCATTACAGTGGTATCATCTACATATCTGAGGTTGATGAATCCTAGCAGTCTTGATTCCAGTTTGTGAATTCAGCTAGCCCGACATTTTGGATGATGTACTCTGCAAAGAAGTTAAATAAGCAGGGCGACAGTATGCAGCTTTGTATTCCTTTCCTGATTTTGAACCAGTCAGTCAACATATAATTGGATTGTGGTTTTTAACTCAGTATGACATTTTGTACTTCTTACTTGAGTGTTTAGACCAGAGGTAGGCAAACTGGACCAAATCTGGCTTGCTGTCCATTTTGTAAATAAACTTCTTGGAATACAGCTTTGCTTGTCTGTGTTTACATACTGTCTGTGGCTGCTTTTGTGCACAGTGGTGAGCTTGAGTTGTTGTTTCAGACAGACTGCTTGCTGGTGAAGCCTTACATATTCACCGTCTGACTTCTTACCAACACTTGGAGGGCCCATGTCATCCCACCCGACATGCGTCTCCATGGGGCTTACACTGGGAAGACAGTGTTTGCTCATGTGGTTTTTCTCTTTCAGAAATTATTTGTAGGAAATCTTATCTGTTTATTTCTTATAAGACTGTATTTTTAAAACTATATATATATTTATATATGTTTTTGAATTTATGGAAGACTACAGACATGGAAAGAATCCAGCACCCCAACAAGTATGGCTAGGAAGGAAATCAGCTCTGTAATAGGACAGTTTAATGAAGCGCAAACAAGAAAGTGTGGGAAAGGAAGAAAAAAAATGTATTGAATTTAAGACACTGTGAAACTGAGATTTACTAAGTATAAACTCTGTAAAGACTTGACATAAATTGAAAGGCGGCTGCTGAAGTACAGAAGCTGTAGTATTAACTTGGATTATTTCAGCATTTTCCCCAGGTCTCCAGCTTGATGGGAACTCTGTCAGAGTTTGCCATGGGGTAGATTTCCCTTTCTTTCTCTTTTTCTCCCCCTCCCTCCCTCCCTTTCTTCTCACTGTGCAACATAGGGGATCTCATTTCCCTGACAAGGGATTGAACCTGTGCTCCCTGCATTGGGAGTGCTGGGATTCGCAACCACTGGTCCACCAGAGAGGTCCTTCCCATGTAGATTTCTTAAGTGCCAAAGAATCCCATTGGGTTCTAATTCAATACTTCTTTATCTTCTGAAATTACGTAATAATCTCGGTTTTTCTCCCTTTCTAAAAGGACCTTAAAGGCTTTGACCCAGGAGAGAAGTACTTTCATAACACATCATGGGGAGATATTTCTCTGTGGGAACCTTCTGGAAAGAAACTGGTATGTATTTTTATTTCCAGTTTTCATGTTTCCTCAGAACATGGGGTAAGTGTTGGTTTAGTTCTGAGGAACATCACATGTTTTGGGGTTGCAGATGAATGAAAGGGAGGAGGAGGGGTATAATGTAAACATTTAGGGAAGTAGAAAAAGTTAAATGTTTTATAATACAGTATTGATGATGTGAGAGTTTTCTGCATGTAAAAAGTTAATGAAGTGATACAGTGAAATTATTATATTACTATTATATGCCTCTGATATAAGTAGGGCTTCTGAGTTATGTAACTATTTTGAAAAGAAATGACTTCAAGTATGAGCATACATTCTGGTTTCAAAAATTAAAAATACGGAGTTTGAATCAGGGAACACAGTTTACAATAAATTTGAAACCTCGTAGTTAAGCAGATTCCAGCTAAACTATGTGACGTACTGCTGAATTCTCCGTTGAAAAGTGTTTCCTCTGGAAAACCTTCCTGCTGCCCAGCTGCTGGGTTAGCACCTCGTCAGCTCCAGGCAGCTCGCCCCGAGGGGACCCGCCTCCGCTCACTGCCTCCCCCGCCCATTTGTCCAAATACCGTTGTTCTTGAGAATTCTGGCTTAAAAAAACTTTCTGTAACTCATCAGTCGTTTTTCTGTCAGAATTTTATTTGTAAACATTTTTGTTGTCACCTTGTCCTCTTGAGTCCCGCTTTCTGCCTGTTCTGTGTCTCTTCCCTTCCTTGACCTGACGTTCCCCTCTTTACCAACAGACACAAGATTCCTTGAAACTGCTCTGATTTGGCTGTTCTGCTCAGAACAACTCATGGCTTTTCAAATATGCCTTGTTTTGAATACCTCGGCTTCGTGATTATATTCTTAGGCCTCTCTGATTTTTCTCATCTGAATTCCTAAAAGATTATATTATGTAACATACAATATAATGTATAATTATATGCTCTTCATCAAGAAACATTTTTTGAATTCCTGCTACAACTTTCTCAGTGCTTGATGCAAAGAGGTGAAAGAGTTCTTTTCCTTAGGGAGTTTATGTTTTTGTTTGTGTGAATGGACACAAAAAGTTAAATAACAATATGAAATAGTAGAGATTGAATTTATTAAATAGGTACCATATTCAGAAAAAATAAACCACTGTTACCTGGCGTGGTAGAGGCTGTGTCACTGCTAGTTTTAGTACCTTACTTTGTATTCGTAGATAGCCTTCTTTAATTTGTGTCTGGGTAATAGGATTTTTGAACAAAGACAGTTTTTCGGCCACTGTAGCAGGAATGTGCTACTCGGCTGGATTATGTGGCTCATGCTTCAGAGAAATGAGATGTGCTGGATATCTGGATTTGGGATGGAGGTGCTTGTGTTATGTTGGAAATGAAGCCTAGCTGTTACGGGACCTGAAGATGTGGCCTTAGGCAGATGGGGAAACAGGGATAATCTCGGAGACAAGGCATCCTGCAGTGGCCAGGATGCCTGACTCCACTTCTTTCTCCTTCTCTCCTTGGTTATTTTTCTGTTACAGTGAACCAAGGTATCACACTCCAGTTATTTCTGATTGATCACTCTCCTAGAACTTTGACATACAGGTTTTTCTCTAAACATTTGCTTTCACTTCTCTTGGGTAATTGCCAGGTGTGAGATTGCTGGGTTGTGCAATATATGGTCCATCTCTGTAACAAACTGCCAGACTGTTTTCCAAAGTGGCTGTACCGTGTTGCTTTCCCACCAGTGGTGTGTGTCCTGGCTGCTCTGCGTCCTCACTGGACTCTGTCAGGGTTTTTGTGCTTTTGGATTTAACTGCTTATTTTCCATTTTAATAGGCTTGTAGTGGTGTCTTCTCTGGTTTTAATTTGCTTCTCCCTAGTGACTAACAGTGTTGAGCATCTTTTTGTGTGTTTCTTTGGCATCTGGATACCCTCTTTAGTTTAAAGTGTACGACTCTTAAATGTTTTGCCAGTTTTCTAAAAATTGGGTCATATGTGTCCTTACTGAGACTTGAACATGCCCACAGTGTGTTTTATGGACACAAGTCCTGTATTAGGTATGTGGTTTGTAAATAGTCTTCTAGCCTGTGGTTTGTCTTTTTACCTTTTAAAGTATCTTTCAAAGAGAAGATTTCTTACTTTGATAAAATCCTGTTTATAATTTTTTTCTACTGTTATTCAGTCACTCAGTCATGTCTGACTCTGCAACCCCATGGACTGCAGCACACCAGGCTTCCCTGTCCTTCCACTCTCTCCCAAAGTTTGTTCAAACTCATGTCCATTGAGTTGATGATGCCATCCAACAATCTCATCCTCTGTCATCCCCTTCTCCTGCCCTCAATCTTTCCAAGCATTGGGGTCTTTTCCAGTGAGTGGGCTCTTTGCATCAGGTGGCCAAAGTATTGGAGCTTCAGCTTCAGTATCAATCCTTCTAATGAATATTCAGGGTTGATTGTCTTTTCCAGTGAGTCAGCTCTTTGCATCAGGTGGCCAAAGTATTGGAGCTTCAGCTTCAGTATCCTTGCAGTCCAAGGGACTTTCAACAGTCTTTTCATGCATTACAGTTGAAAGCATCAATTCTTTGATGCTCAGCCTTCTTTATGGTCCAACTCTCACAGCCATATGTGGCTACTGGAAAAAACAGAGCTTTAACTAGATGGACCTCTGTTGGCAAAATTATGTCTCTGCTTTTTAATACGGTGTCTAGGTTTGTCATAGATTTTCTTCCAAGAAGCAAGTGTTTTTTAATTTTGTGGCTGCAGTCACCGTCAACAGTGATTTTGAAGTCCAAGAAAATAAAAATCTGTCACTGTTGCCTTTTTTCCCCCATCTATTTGCCATGAAGTGATGGGACCGTATGCCATGATCTTTGTTTTTTGAATGTTAAGTTTTAAGCCAGTTTTTACACTCCTCTTTGACCTTCATCAAGAGGCTGTTTAGTTCCTATTTGCTTTCTGCCATTAGGGTGGTGTCACCTGCATATCTGAGGTTATTGATATTTCTCCTGGCAACCTGATTCCAGCTTGTGCTTTATCCAGCCTGGTATTTTGCATGATGTACTCTGCATCGAAGTTAAAGAAGGAGGGTGACAATATACAACCTTGATGTACTCCTTTCCCAGTTTTGAACCAGTCTGTTGTTTCGTGTCCAGTTCTAACTGTTGCTTTTTGATCAGCATACAGATTTCTCAGGAGGCATGTATTTTCTATTATGAATTGTATTTTTGATGTGTTATATAAGAAATCTTTCCTTGATCCAAAGATCTGTTCAGTACTAACAGTAGCAAGTTGTTAGTTCTGTTGACTCTTTAACTGGGTGTAATTTTCATTAAGTATCTGGTTTTTCAATACAGTATTTGTGGAGTATAAGATGCTCCATTTTAAATGAACCATAAACGAAAAAAAAGTAATACTTCACCTAAGTTGTGATGTAACATTAAACTGTCAGCTGTAAGGTGTTTCCAGATTTCGGAGATATTAAAATAGAAAAAAGTGTGTCTGAATTGGTGAAACATATTTTTTAAAATGTGTTGTGTGGTTGGCTGTCCCCTAGGTTTTTTATAGATTCTCCTGGAAGTGCCAGAACCTGGGATTTCTTAATTGCTGAAAAGGCAGTAGTGACATGTTGAATGTGTTTGGGTGTTTTCTCTGATCAGTGACCCAAGAGGAAGACTGCGTGATTAGCAGAGAGGGTGACAGAACCCACAGGAGGGGAATTTGTGTGTATGTGTGTGTGTGTGAGAGTGGTCTCCGAGCACATGTCTGGGAAGGACGGGGGTGGCCAGTGGCCACTGCATCAGTGGGAAACAGCTGCAGGGTGGCAAGACCTCTGCCCCGTTGTCTAACCTGTCCACACCCCGGCTTTCCTGCTTTGTGAAACTAGGCCCAGTGTTTTCTGGCGCTCCAGCTCTGGGGTCTGGTGCCTTCCGTGCTACTCTCATGTCAGACCAACAAGGCTTCCTGGATGTTAGAACACACTGTGCTCCTCAGTTGGCCAGCTGTTGTATGAATGTCTGTTCTTGTGCCCCAGGCTTGTTGAATTCCCCATATTTGCCTTACAGAGAGAGAACACGCTGTCAGAGTGGCAGTCTGTGGCTTGAACTTACCTCAGACTTACTCACAGTGAGTGAGCCACAGCCCTCTGTCTTCCGTGGTTGTCACTGTCCATTTATCTCCTGGAATCTGGGAAATGAAAGACGGGTGATCAGTTTAACAATTATCAAGTTTGGTTATGTTAGAACATTCCAGAAGTTTTAGAATTTGGAGTAAAAACAACTTGGAACTAAGAAAAGTGGGATGAGAATGGGAGAAAGTAATTTTTTCTTGCTGAGAATTGAGTTTAACTGATGCAGCTGAATCAGAGTACAGGATTAAATGAGATTTGTGGTTTTAATGGCTGGCTTTGGAAACGGGGTTCAGGTAGCTATGTTTTTGGGGCCAAACGCTGTTTGTATGTATGGCCTAAATGCTGAAAATAGTTACTACATTTTTAAGTGTTTTAGGAAAAAAATGAAAAGGGTTTTGTGATGTGAGTGTTATCTGTAGGTGCTTTTCCTTACAGCACAGCCCTAGATCCAGCAAGTTAGAAGGAAGGAAATCATTTACTTGTTAACTGTAGATGGTGTAGCATCTGATTTTTATTAAACTATGTAGTTTTATTAAACTATGCTTGACTTTTTTTTTTAACAGAGATATCGAACAAAACCATACTGTTGCAGCCTCTGTAAATACTCCACAAAAGTACTTACTTCATTCAAAAATCATTTACATCGTTACCATGAAGATGAAATTGACCAAGAGCTGGTGATCCCTTGCCCAAACTGCGTGTTTTCCTCTCAACCCAGAGTTGTGGGAAGGCACTTCAGAATGTTTCATGCACCTGCTCGGAAAGTCCAGAATTACACAGTGAATATTTTAGGTGAAACTAAATCATCTAGGAGTGATGTGATAAGTTTTACATGTTTAAAATGTAACTTTTCAAACACACTGTACTACAGCATGAAGAAGCATGTGCTGGTAGCACATTTTCACTACTTAATTAACTCCTATTTTGGCCTGAGAACTGAGGAGGTGGGTGAGCATCCTGGAGCTGACGACACCCTCTGTGCAGAGAAGTTGCTTGCGTCTGACAGGTATTACTGTAAAAAGTGCAACGCCAATGCCAGCAGCCAGGACGCTTTAATGTATCATATTTTGACATCCGATATACACCGGGATTTGGAGAATAAGCTTAGGTCTGTCATCTCAGAACATATTAAGAAGACTGGCCTTTTGAAGCAGATGCATATTGCTCCCAAACCAGCTACACACGTGGCCATACCGCCGAATAGCAGTGCTCCGGGCATCCCAGCCTCATCTCCTTGCTACCACCTTGCCTTGCCGCAGAACGGCCAGAGCCAGACCGTGGTGCAGCCGGTTCAGGGTGCAGCCCCTCCAGCTACTGTGGCTGCGGGGGCTGTGGGCAGTGTCACCCACTCTCCGCCAGCCGTTGCCCAGCCTCACGTGACCCTGGTCTCCAGTCCTCTGCCAGTGGGCCAGAGCAGCCTCACTTTGCCGCGCTCGACGCCTCAGCCTGTCTTTCTTTCTCATGGAGTCCCACTTAATCAGGCAGCAAATCCTCCCGTGTTGCCCTTGAGTCAGCCAGTTGGACCTGTAAATAAGTCTGTTGGAACCAGTGTCCTCCCCATAAACCAGACCATCCGCCCCGGGGTTTTGCCACTCAGTCAGCCTGTGGGGCCCATAAGCAGGCCAGTTGGACCTGGAGTTCTTTCGGTGAATAGACCCGTTGGGTCTGGGGTCCTCCCTGTCAACCCCTCTGTCACCCCTGGAGTGCTTCAGGCAGTCTCGCCAGGGGTGATTTCTGTGAGTCGGACAGTCCCGTCAGGGGTCCTTCCTGCAGGACAGGTGACCCCTGCTGGGGTCATCCCTTCAGGACAGACAGCGACTTCTGGGGTTCTTCCTGCTGGCCAGGTGGTTCAGTCAGGGGTGCTCCCCATCGGGCAGACGGCCCCCTCGGGGGCACTGCCCACAGGGCTGACGGTCCCACTGCGGGTGCTCCCTCCTGGCCAGGTAGTCCCACCTGGGCTCCTTCCCCCCAACCAGACAGTCTCGTCAGCCGTTCTTCCTGTGAACCAGGGCATTAACTCTGGTGTTCTTCAGCTCAGTCAGCAGGTCATGTCAGGAGTTCTTCCTGTGGGCCAGCCAGTGAGGCCTGGGGTCCTGCAGCTTAATCAGTCTGTGAATACCAACATTCTGCCTGCAAATCAGACCATTAGACCCGGTGCTTCGCCAAACACCACTTTCCTTACATCAGGCTCTATTCTCAGACAGCTCATACCCACAGGGAAACAAGTGAATGGCATTCCCACGTACACACTTGCCCCGGTGTCTGTCACTCTGCCAGTGCCCCCTGGAAGCGTTGCCACTGTTGCCCCTCCCCAGATGCCCATCCAGCTCCTGCAGTCGGGCACAGCTGCCCAGATGGCCAGTTCCATGGCCGGCATGCCCTCCCCTCCCGTGGTGGTAAATGCCACTCAGAGTATGTTTGTTCAGGCCTCTTCGTCTGTGGCAGAGGCAAATCAGGTGCTCAAACAGGCCAAGCAATGGAAAACCTGTCCTGTTTGCAACGAGCTCTTCCCTTCCAATGTGTACCAGGTCCATATGGAAGTGGCGCATAAGCACAATGAATCCAAAGCTGCTGACAAACTGGAGCCAGAGAAACTGGCGGCATGTGCGCCATTTTTAAAGTGGATGAGAGAGAAGACAGTTCGATGTCTTTCTTGTAAGTGTTTAGTTTCGGAGGAGGAGCTTATCCATCACTTACTGATGCATGGCCTGGGGTGCTTGTTCTGCCCGTGCACCTTCCACGATATCAGAGGCCTCTCAGAGCACAGTCGGACCATGCACCTGGGGAAGAAGAAGCTGCCCATGGATTACAGTAACAAAGGTTTTCAACTGGATATCGACGCCAACGGCAACCTGCTGTTTCCCCACCTTGACTTTATTACCATATTGCCTAGGGAGGAGCTGGGCGAGCGGGAGGTCTACCTGGCCATCCTGGCAGGGATACACTCCAAGTCGCTGGTGCCTGTGTACATCAAGGTGAGGCCCCAGGCTGAGGGTGCTTCTGGGAGGCCCGGCAAGCAGGTGTTGACCTGCCCCTTTTGCTTTGGCACCTTTGTGACAACCGAGGCATACGAGCTGCATCTGAAGGAGAGGCACCACATCACGCCCACAGTCCACACGATTCTGAAGTCTCCAGCTTTCAAGTGCATCCACTGCTGCGGGGTCTACACTGGCAACATGACGCTGGCAGCCATTGCCATCCACCTGCTGCGCTGCCGCAGCGCCCCCAAGGACAGCAGCCCTGACCTGCAGGGCCAGCCCAGCCTCCTGGAGAACAGCGAGCTGCTTTTAGTCAACGGTGAAGTGATCCATGATACCAGCTTCTCAGTGAAGAGAAAGCTGCCTGATGGCCACTCCGGGGTCGAAGACCAGAGGGATGGCGTGGAGCCGCCCGTCATCATAGACGCGGACGCAGACCCAGCTCCAGAAAAGGCAGTGAGTGCACCTGTTAAACGGCAGCGGAGTGAGGGCAGGACGGAGGGACCGCCCGTTAGTGAAGACGCTCTTCAGATTTTAGCATTAAATCCTAAAAAGTACGAAGACCGTTCTTACGAAGACAAAAAGCAGTTTCTTAGGGATTATTTCCACAAGAGACCATATCCCAGTAAAAAGGAAATAGAATTGTTATCTTCACTCTTATGGGTGTGGAAAATTGACGTGGCTTCATTTTTTGGAAAAAGAAGGTATATTTGCATGAAAGCAATAAAAAATCACAAACCGTCTGTACTTTTAGGCTTTGACATGTCTGAACTTAAAAATGTTAAACACAGGTTGAACTTTGAGCATGAACCACAAAACTTGTAAAAAAAAAAACTAAAGTATTAGTTTTTTTCAATTGAGATTTTTAAAAATGTTATTTTCTTCACTGTATGTTGAACTAATCAGTTTCAGTGGTCTTTATGCTGCTCTTTAGATTTATTTCAGGTGCTCAGAAAGACTTCTGTATAAAGAAGTGAGTAGTTCTTTCAAATTTGTTTCCTGCAGTTTGATTTTGTAACAATTACTTTTTGTTTTTTCTCTGTCATGTAAATTAAATCTTTTGATATTTCATGCACGCCTTGTTTTCCCAGTAGTGTCACTATCGTATGATAAAAACTAAAATCTATATATGTTTATTTTTCATTTAAGGAAATTTCAGCTTGTTTCAGAACACTTGATTAACTGCAAATTAAAACTGCTCTCCCTCAGCTTCCCAAGTAGCAGCAGACGATACAGTAAATGTTTAGAGAAGTGAGTAGCAGCCCCTGTGACATGTCTGGTTCATTAAGGATGCACTGCATTAACTTACGCTGATTTCTTCTTGTAAGGTATTCGCTAATTAGATTTTAATTTTGATTTGCGTTTTTTCAGTTGTTTACGTCCTAACAGTTGTTTTTGATTGTAACTCAGAAAACCAAATGTTTTCATTTGTTAAAAATATACTGAACCTGAAGTCTGGTATTTAAATCAAGAGTTATTTTACAAATAAAGTAATTCTGTAGGTACAAAATACTTCTCACTGTAGACTTTTCCCCTCTTTTTGATATGGTGATAAGTCTTCTCCATTCAAAGACAAGACAATAAATCTTTAGTGCCTTTAGAACAAACACTGAAAACACACACACAAGCTCTCCTCCTGACCTAACTGTGCATAAACAGCGAAAGGGAAGGTCTGAGTTACTCAGGAATAAAATGTTGACCCCTGAGTGTGGCTACTAACTAAGATTTAAACACAGGTTTTTAGGGAACAAGGTGAAACACATGGACTGGAGCTAGTCTCCTGGTTGGTGTATTAAATCTGACAGTTTCCTGGAAGTAAATTTATTCATTCTAGGAAAATGGGCTTTCCCATAGCCTGGTGTCCAGGTTACTGGGATGGGCTATTGCTAAGGAATCAAGTGTGTTACAGTCCTTTGGCCAACTAGGCCTCATTTTTTCCACAAAATCTGAAATAACTTAAAGCACCAGAAGCAGTTGTGGAGACCAGCCTGTTTGACCTTGAGCCACAGTGCTGGTGATGCACGGGAGAGGTGCCTGTGCTGCGTTCTTGGAAGATGCGACAGTCTCTGGGAAATGAGATACTGTTACCACGTGGAGTTTTAAAGTGTAATTCTTGCATGTCGTTGCTGTAATGTACATTTCTGAGGCAACCGTGAAACTGGCGTGTGTGTGATTGTTGGTGTGCTCTGTTGTAAATTCAAAGAGCTTGTTCCAGTCTGTTTTTTTTACCTATTGTTTTCAGAGTGTCTATTTTGAATTAAAACTTGTTATACCACTGCAAGTAGAACTGTTTAATTCTTTTAAATGTTGAAACATCACGATGATTCAGAAACAAACATGGAAGTAGATACCATATTTGTTGTTGTGAAAATAAGCACACCCCCAAAGGCTGAATAATTACAGGGTCATGAAATAGCTGTGGCTGGAGATCCTTGCTTTGTGTGATGGTGGCCGGGAGTTGCCTTTCTCTAGGCTGAGCTCTGTGTCGCCCGGCGCGGCTTGCCATCTGTGTGGCTTGACCTGCGCCCCTTCAGTTGCGAGACTTCGGGGCTCTGTTTGCGTTTGGGGCCTGGTCAGTCTGTCGGGCTGACCATCCTGTCCACTGCAGGATCAGAGCAGCATCGCCAGCCTCTTCCCTCCCAGTCGTGGCCCCTGCACCCTCCCCCAGCTGTGTCCCTCTGGGCAGAGTAATAGCCCTGAGCAGAAACTCTGTGATGAAGGAATTCTGGTTGCTATCTGTAGTCCAGCTTTTGATGTGGAATCTTTTTATATGCTAGTTACTGGCTATTAAACACTTTTTTTAGGCTTCTAGATCAAAATTTGATGTAAACTGAGCTTCAAAAGCATATGGGAGTTCTTGTAAAAAAAAAAAATGAGTAAATTTATTATTATTAGCTATGCTGTGCAGTATGTGGGATCTTAGTTCCCCAACCAGGGACTGAACCCCTGCCCCCTGCAGTGGAAGTGTGGGCTCTTAAACACTGGGAATTCCCTAAGTTTATTATTTGAAAATGAAAAACTGAACTGTAGATTAAATAGTTTAGTGGTGGGGGATTTTTATGCTGTCATTTAAAAGATTGGAAATTGAGAAGGAAAGAAAATTCTTTTTTATTTTCATGGTTTCAAAAAGGTATATATTTAAATTTTAATCTATGTATGAACTTTAAAAATATTACATATTTGGAGACACTGCTTTGGGAAATATCCCCAGTGTTTTTGCTTCAAGTAATAAATCCTTCCTTCTTCCATCTTCCCCCAAATTACATATTTGAAGTCTATTTGGTGAAAGACAAATTAGAATGTAGCATTTAATTTCTGAATTCTGTTACCATGGTTTTGGGATATGTTATTTTTTAACAGCCAGGAGCCTCATCACTTCATTTGTTACAGTGAATAGTAAATGAGGAGAACTCGGGAGGCCCCAGAAGGCCTTTCATCCACCCGGTAACAGGGCAGGCCCTTTGCCACTGCTCCTGTGGTTGGTTTTTCTTTTGGTGATTGCTCTCCCACCCGCCTGTCAGCGTGCTGCTTCCAGAATGGAGCTCTGCGGATCTTTGTCAGATTGCATTGGTAACTCAGCTGAGGAACAGGTCAGCTTTGATGTCACCTCATCCTAAGGCCCTTGAATGTTTTCTTTAAGAAGCTGCAGGCGAGGGAGGTCGGACAGGCAGAGTATGGCTCCTGTGGCTTTAGCGGGCAGCAGGCCTCGCAGGACTGACTGCGCCACAAGCTGCGAGACCCCAGCGAAGCTGCAGGAGTCGTGTCTTCAGCTTCTGGGCTGTGGGCCACAGGCCGGTGTGAGGGCGCAGACTGCGGGATGCTGTGCCAAGGACAGCGCTGGTGCCAGGGCCGTGTCAGCATCACAGGAGCATGGAGACGACCTGGTACAGGGTCGCCCACTCCTGCCCCCTCACCCTCATCAATGTGATCAAACAGAACACAGCCAGTCAGTGAAGAAGCCAAGCTGGTCCTGAAAGCTGACAGGACAAGAGACCCTCATCCACATACCACCAGGTAACCACAAAAACAGCTGCTGTATCGCCACTGGACTGGCATCCTGGGCAGAGGCACTCTTCCGGAAGCCCTGGTGCAGGTATGTCCCAGGGAAGGGCTGTTGCTCTTCAGTCCTGCAGTCGGCCTCCTGGGGCGGGCAGGGTGGACACATCGTCCTCTCCCTCAGGCTCCGGCCAGGTCTGTCTCCCTGCAGAAGCCACCCAGTTGTGGCTCTTCACTCAGTTTTGCAGTAAGGCCTCTGGGAATGCTGTGCTGTGGCTGATTCTCAGCCACCTTCCTTTGCTCTCAGAGCAGCAGCTGCGCCAGACCTGCGGGAGCTGGTGGTTCTGCCCCAAGTCCCCAAGGACCACCGCACCAAGGCGGGTGGTCATCCACCTCTGTTACCCTTTCCAACAGCCTCACATCTGATGCTTATGTGCAGCTCTTTCTTACTAGAGGAAGCAACAGCTCTGACTAAAAAAAGAAAAAAGAGCCCCAAAACACTAACCAAGTTTATACATTGTTTTTAAACCACCTTGCTAGTAAGTAATAAACATTTATCAACAGTTTACCGTTGCTGGGACATGGGCTGAGTATTCTAATGATGATGGTGATGATCTGCTTTCCTTACTTGGTCTGTGTTGGTGCAGCTGTTGTGCATTTTAACTCTCAACAGTCTTACGAGGTGAATGGTAGTATCCATACATAAGGAAAACGGAAAGTTCTTTTCCCTTTTTCCATATAAAGGCAACTGAGGTTAAGTGAGCTGCTTGAGGCAGGGAGCTAGTTAGGTGGAAGGAGTGGGGAGGTGACGGGGTCGTGCTGCTATGCTCCATTCTTCTGTTCATGTATTAATAGGTCCCTATTTAAGCCTCAGTACTCTTGTGAGTAGGTATTATTTTGCCTGTGTTTTCAAGGTGAAGATGTGGATTCCAAGGTAGTGTGTCCAGCTGTCACAGTCTGCTCACGACTGAGGAATTTCTCTGAATTTTTAGTACCAACACTGAGAATATCCAGGCAGGCGGGGACAAGTTGGTCACCCTACCCAGAGGTCAGTTCACCTCCCCACAGTGACACATCACTTAAGGGATTCGGTACTATTGCTAATAAATATCCGTTCTCTGGGCGTGCACGTAGCCCTGTTGGTGTGGAGGCGCAGGGCACCGTGCCCTGGATGGTTAACAGCCGCGACAGCAGCAGGGCCCTGTGTGCCGGGTACTGTTGTGAGCGCGCGATGAACTCACTGAGGTGACATTTTTTGAATGAAAAGTGAAAGGAGGAAAGTCTTGATTAGAACAACAAAAAAGAAATACAAATTTGCTATTTCATTCAGTATTTTGGAATGTCTCCCCATGTTACTAAACAGAGCCCCTGCTGAACTATCAACCAAGGAATACAAGTTAGAACTACGAGGTACTGCCAGAAAATTAAGTTTTAAAAACTTAAACGTAATATCATCTTTGTCCTCAAACCAATTTGTTTTTTTGTAGGTGGTGAGTAAACATATAAACACACATTCCTTAATACAAAGCTTTACCTTGTAGCACTCCTGCTGCTGTACATGTATGAAGTTACACTATTACTAATTATTACCTAGTTTTTAAAGTTTAAAAATTTAGAAATCATTTTAGCAATGAAAATTTTATACAGGGAAACTCTATAATGAGTGAGCCCTGAGAACATGTTAGTTGTAACAGTGCCCAGTAGTTCTAGTTACTTTCAGATTCTAAACCCAGGAGTTTTAAAACTTGTGATCCATGAACCATCTGAGTAAAAAGTGTTAACACTGATGAAAGTTTAAGTCTAAATTACCAGATTTTTATAATACACAGTTAAGATGACAATTTACCGGCACTGTCAACCTTAAAGACCTGTGATAATGACATATGAAAGCAGCCTAAACTGTATGCTTATTTGGGATCAGATATCTAGGAAGATCACCATGTAAAGTAGATTTAAAGTAGATTAAAATCAAAATAAAAATCTGTTTTATGACTGCGATCTCTAAGGCCGCTATGTTTTCAGGTGGAAAACACACCATTCACGCACTGACCTAGCTCAGCTTTCAAAAGGTAAAGTGTATATAATAACGCTGCTAAACATTAGGTAACATTAGTTTCCCACATGCTATTAAAGAAGGTGCTTCCGAAACCACTTTTTAAAAAATCCCACCCATAAAATATGAGCAATGATTGTTTACTTTTAAGCAAACAAAAATTACATAAATTCCTTTTCAGAGATAAAACTTTTAATAAATAATAAAACATTTAAAATTTTATTAATCTTTATTAATGCTACTTCAGCCATATAGATAGGTTTGCTATGGATAAACTAAAATCATGGTCATATTATCAAATGCAAATTCAGAATTAGTTGTCATAAATGAATATATTTTTTCAAAAATTAGTTTCCTATGGTTTACAATGCATGATATGGAAAGTTTAATATGATGTTAGATAATTTACCACTTGCCTAAGCTAGAGGAAATTGAATAATTAATAGCAGTCTATAATGGTTCAATAGTTTTTCTTAAAACAATGTTTCTCTATAAATCTGTCTTGAGTGTTAAGTTGTAAAATCAATAAAAACAACAGTTTTGCTAGGGTTTTATAGATCAGTTGACTCATTTTGCTTCCCCAGCCCCTATGGAGCAGCTTTCAGAACTATTTGAAGACCCAGAAAATCCTACATTGTCTATGAAATAATGACACTGACACACACACATGTTAGTATGATATCAAACAGACTACACTCAGATTCTGGAAGGAGTTTCCATGCAGACAGATTTAAGGTCTCATTATAAGGAAAGTATGCTGCTGCTGCTGCTAAGTCGCTTCAGTCATGTCCGACTCTGCGACCCCATAGACGGCAGTCCACCAGGCTACACCATCCCTGGGATTCTCCAGGCAAGAACACTGGAGTGGGTTGCCATGTCCTTCTCCAATGCATGAAAGTGAAAAGTGAAAGTGAAGTCGCTCAGTCGTGTCTGACTATTTGCAACCCCATGGACTGCAGCCCACCAGGCTCCTCTGCACATGAGATTTTCCAGGCAAGAGTACTGGAGTGGGTTGCCATTGCCTTCTCCAACAAGGAAAGTATCTTTGGTCCTAAAAAGGACAGGATATTTAGCCTCTGCTGTTGTCTTGTGGAAGATGACATAAGAAAACACCAGGGAATTCACGAGATCATTTTAAAGAAATGCATTTTGCAGGAAAGGTAGTTTTTGGTTATTTTTAAAATTTAATTTTGTTTGGATTTTATACATGCTCTCAAATAACAAGTGATTACATCAATAAGACAACTGTAGACAAAGAAGGAAGGCACGGTATCTGTGCAGGAGTTTTTGGAATGCGCTGGGGAAGCTCAAGTCACATGACTCCCAAGGATGTTAGCAGAGGTCTTTTTAATTATATTCAGCTCTAAGGTGAGTGCTTTTCTAATAACTTATTAGAAAATCAGTAACCTCACACCAGAACTCATTGTTACCACAGTGGTTCCTTATCACTGTGTATTTCATTGCTGACTTTGTTTCTATTCACAGGTGGTGGTGGTGACCATCTTGGTCCAATAAGTTGCTAATTTAGAAGTAAGCAGAATACACGTATATCAACACCCAGTACTAACTGTATTTTCTAACCATATCCTAGCTATTGGCATTGCCAACTTTTTAGCTTCTATATGATGTTCTGTGTTAAATGACTTGATGACTAAAGGGGAAGCTGGGATACTGAAAATAGATGTTACTACAACACAGGATCAATTCAGAAAAATAAAAATGGAAAACTTGGTAAATTCATTATGAGATTTATTCAGTAATCAATTTAGATTTTCTAGTAACTTTACCATGATTGCAAGTTCTTGTATATTTGAGTCCCACTTAGAAATGAATCTTTAAATATACCTTTATAACTGCACACTGGTTTTTCTTTTTTTCTGTTTTGTTTGTTTTGGCTGTGCCACAAAGCTTGCAGGATCTTACTTCCCCAACCAGGGATTGAACCCGCGCCCTCTGCAGTGAAAGCATGGAGTTGTAATCACTGGACTGCCAGGGAATTCCCAGAACTGCACAGTGTTGTCCTAAAGAAGCATCTTATTTCCAGAATCAAAATACCTGTAATGTCTGAGGATTGACATATAATTAAATGATATCCACTGTAACTTCCTAAGAAGTCCAGGGTATGAGCTCTTTAACCTTATTCTGCCATCTGAGAATCTACACCAGGTTCTGACCACATTATGCCTGTTTTTCCATTTACAAAATGCATGTGTGGAGAGGTGATTACTCTATTTCATAAAAAATGGCCTCAGTATAACCATATTTTATTTTCAGTGCACTAGAAAGAGAATAAGTCTTTGCCACTTCCTGAACACCTAATTAGCAAGCTGCTTTCATGCAGTGACCTGTGTAAGGACAGATTCATTGGTATCTATGCTTTCCTTTCCCACAGGGTTGACAGAGTGGCTACAAAGAAACATGAGACACTCAATATCTTGTAATAACCTATAATGGAATATAATCTGCAAAAAACCTGGTCACTCTGCTGTACACCTATAACTAACACATGTAAATCAACTATACTTCAATTTAAACTAGACAGATTCAAAGAGTTCAGAAAACATTATATACTAGAGGGTAACCCTGGGTCTTTTGCCTTCTAATATAAGGTCCACCTCAGTCCAGATCATTTGGTTGTAACTCAAACTGATCTGAGGTGGCCTCAGCCTGCCACAGGTTGGAGCAGGCCTTGGGTTTCCAGCCAGAAATTGAGGCCGGCTTGCAGTGGTGAGAGCACCAGATCCTATCCACTAGGCCAGTGGTCAGTGACCAGGCTACTGGCCCTTTGGCTTTGCAGAAAAGAGTTTCCACAGACGGAAAGTGGTGAAGCAAATGAAGTTTTTATTAGGAAGAGAATACAGTACATGTGGATAGAGAAGGGGTGGACTCAGAGTCCCTGAGTTGCACCCTGGTGGCAATCCGAATTACTTCTGTAGGGCACTTCTTCTGGGTTTCCTTTGGCCAATCATTTTGATTTGTCTGGTTCACAGTCCATATTTGGTGTATTTCAGGATCAAGGTTGTATATTGTCACCCTGCTTATTTAACTTATATGCAGAGTACATCATGAGAAATGCTGGGCTGGATGAAGCACAAGCTGAAGTCAAGATTGCCGGGAGAAATATTAATAACCTCAGATATGCAGATGACACCACCTTTATGGCAGAAAGTGGAGAACTAAAGAGCCTCTTGATGAAAGTGAAAGAGGAGAGTGAAAAAGTTGGCTTAAAACTCAACATTCAGAAAACTAAGATCATGGCATCCGGTCCCATCACTTCATGACAAATAGGTGGGGAAACAGTGAGAGACTTTATTTTTTGGGCTCCAAAATCACTGCAGGTGGTGACTTCAGCCATGAAATTGAAAGATGCTTGCTCCTTGGAAGAAAAGTTATGGCCAACCTAGACAGCATATTAAAAAGCAGGGACATTACTTTGCCAACAAAGGTCTGTCTAGTCAAAGCTATAGTTTTTCCAGTAGTCATGTATGGATGTGAGAGTTGGACCATAAAGCAAGCTGAGCTCTGAAAAACTGATGCTTTTGAACTGTGGTGTTGGAGAAGACTTGAGAGTCCCTTGGACTGCAAGGAGATCCAACCAGTCCATCCTAAAGGATATCAGTCCTGAATATTCATTGGACTGATGCTGAAGCTGCAACTCCAATATTTGGCCACCTGATGCGAAGAACTGACTCACTGGGAAAGACCCGGATGCTGGGAAAGCTTGAAGGCGGGAGGAGAAGGGGACAACAGAGAATGAGATGGTTGGATGGCATCACTGACTCAGTGGACATGAATTTGAGTAACCTCCAGGAGTTGGTGATGGACAGGGAGGCCTGGCGTGCTGCAGTCCATGGGGCCGCAAAGAGTCGGACACAACTGAGCAACTGAACTGAGGATCCTCCCACGTGTTCACATGCATCTCTTAGCCAAGATGGATTCTACTGAAGAGGCCTGTGGGTAGCCTGGCATTAGTTAGCATCACTCCCCTTTGACCTCCAGAGGGGGTCTTTTTGCGCATATGTGGTCACGGAAGTCTCCTGACTTTGAGAAGGAGAAATCTGTGGTCTGGGCAGGGACCAGTCTCCTCCCTTAATTGTCCTACTCTTCTTGTCTTGGGAGTTTGGTCCACAGGGAATGAATTGCTTTACTGTGTGTGTGTGTGTGTGTGTGTTTGGTCCATAGGGAATGAATCTCCAATTGCTTTGTGTGTGTGTGTGTGTGTGTGTGTGTGCGCGCACGCATGCGCAACATCATTTTATTGCCTCAAAACTATGTAGAATAGCATAAGAGTCTAGGGAGTTGTCTTTTCTTATATTTCTTCATGCCCTCCTCATGATCAGGATCTTCTGCCCATGAAGATAAGCGATTTGAAGGAAGGCAGTGCCAGAATGATTAATTTTCTTTGACTTAAAATTTAATATTTGTTTTAAAAGTTAAGCTGCTACCTACATTTGGTAATGTTACAATCTTCTAATAGTGGTTTATCATGGCTGAGAGACTATTTGTGTGCACACCCTAAGAGCATCAGTAACATCCTTTTATGAATATTTCGCTGGAGGGGTGATGTTGCAGACCTTTGTCCTTAAAGCAGTAAAGTACCTTTGGTCCAGATTTTCCTGGGTATGTGCTGTGTACATCTGTCTGCTTATCAAAGCTTATCTTGATTGGGAGTGACATGTCCAGGAGTAGAAAGATGGTAATAAAAATGCAAAGGGCAACCTGAGCCCCAGTAAAACAAGGTGAAGTGCTTCAACTATGGAGCTTGTTGAAGCAAGTGCTTCAACTTGAGCAACCCTCTGAAGTTTTCAGAAGGCTTTACACACATCAAGTGTGTGCAGGTCTGTGTCTGCTTCACTTCAGTGGGTTAGGGTGTGAGATGCACTTTCACTAGTCATGTGGAGTTGTTGCAAACCTAAACTCTAAAAGAAAAGGGTGAGCCTACAAGAAGTTACTCTGATGTTTTGTGTAAATGTGGTCTTCATTACTGTATTACGTATTAGAGGTTTCTAAAAGTTGTCAAAATCAGCTATTAATTAATGTTGGACCCTTTGAGGTCAGTAGCTCAGTCCCTCATCACTGGAGGATTGTGGAGTTTGTACACGTGTGTGATGTGGGTCTGTGTTTACATTGCTCTGGTCCTTGTATGGTTCACTGCCCCAGACTGAAAGCATGAACTGCCCTAGAGATTTAGATCCTAATGTTTATTCTTTGCCAGGTGCTGGTTACAAAATCATAACCTGAAATGAAAAGATGGTAAATAGATCAAATAGCTTTTTTTGTTATTGTTGCAAGTTCAGTTGGCACCTGAACATTTGGATAGATTAGTTAAAAATCCATATATCTTGGTAATTTGAACATATGACTATATCTTAATGTTTAAATGACAGCAGTGTTTAAGATATAATCCAACATATCCACAGACTCATCAGTTCTTATTAGACGGTCTTCAAGACTCTTATCTGAAGGTTTGTTCTGTAATAAGGAAACGTTAGTTTCAGTTCAGTCCCTCAGTTCGAGTTAGTTTAGGAATAGCTAAATTTGTGCATTGAATTTATGAACAAAAAGTTTTAAGTTTTTAACAACTGTGCAAAGAGTAGTGTTATTATTAACTAGGTAATTTGAATTGCAAAACTATTTTCACGTGGAATGTTTGTTTTTAAGTTGATAGGGTTGCTTAATAGAAGTGTTAATTTAACACCTTGTTTCCATTATCGCAATTTGTAAAACCTGCCAGGAATAGTGGAGCAGGGGCCGAGGTTCTTTCTACTTGTATTAATTTTAAAGGATACATATTCAACTCTTGATCACGTGCAGTGGTGGCTGCTATGTCTGCGACACAGCACTGGCAGTGGCCGTAGACAGCGAGCGTGGCCGCCGGGGACGTCACTCCTTTGTTCATCATCCCCGCTTCGGAGAAGGGGCAGAAAACAGACCCGCCTCTGGGTAACCCGAGCTGGAGCCCAGCATCTGAGCAGCTTTCTTAACACAGGCTCATACTCCTTGTGCCTTCTCATTTGATGAGAAATGAGCCTTTCTTTAAAGGCAAGTTTTGAGAGTCCCAATAAGAAACAGGTTTTTTATTCACAGTTTTTTATTGTTTTTTTCATTTCAATAGAAATGGTTCCAGAGAGTGTGCATTTGCATAATGCCTGCAGGCCGCTCACCTGAACCTCTTGTAGATCCTGTGGAAGAGAGAGGTTAGGCTTTCCTACTTGCGGAAGAGCCAGCTCGCCCAGAGGGATGCGTGCCTTTGCTCAGGCCTGTTGACTCGGAGTGGGGCGTGACTGACTGCCGGCCGAGCACGTGCAGCCCCGTAGTGCAGCGCGAGGCCGGACCGCCGCGCCGAGAGCACCGCGAAGCCGCGTGAAGCGGGGGTTCCGGGGGGCGGCCTGTGAGCAGGAAAGGGACCCGCCGCCCCCAGCCCGTGAGCCCCGCGGAGGGAAGGGACTGGCCAACTGACTCAAGGTATATTGGCTTTCATATTCTCCAACTGCGCTTTTCAACCTGGGAAGGGCAGAAACACCCTGCAGAGGTTAAGGAGGGTGAGAAGGAGCCGCTTTCCGAGCTGGCCTGTGCTGCAGCCCAAGCGGATCACCGACTGGGCTGGGGTATCTCCGCCTGCAGCCTGCCACCGGGCGGGCCCTGCTAGGAACACCGGGAAGAGAGGGCTGCACAGGCTGTGCCTGGAGGGTTGGCGGTCAGGTCTGAGTGTTCGTGAGTGGCCCGTGCCTGCGGCCTGGAGCTGCCTGCTCTCCCGCGTCGGCCTCACCCCCTCAGGTGCGGGGAAAATCCCAGTCTGTGCCTCCGGCTCCGGGAGACCGCACGGCCCAAGCCCCGGTTGGTCCCGGGCGGCTGGACCACCTCCTCCCGGCTTGCCGCCTCTCCCAAGGTGGGTGTTGGCACTGCCCCGGTCGCCGTGCCGGCTGGCCTTGTGCCAAGCACCGGTGAAACGTCATTTGTCTAGTGGCCGCGCTGTGTCTCCTTTGCTGCACTCGGGCTTTTCTTGAGGTGCAGTTGAGGGGGCTGCTCTCCTTTGCGGTCGCTGGCTTCTCTGTCATCGGGAGGCTTGTGGGGAGCCTGGGTTCTGGGGCGCTTGAGCTTCAGCAGTTGTGGTGCGTGGGCTCAGTTGTCCCTCGGTGTGTGGAACCATCCGCGTCCCTTGCACTGGCAGGCGGATTCTTAACCTTTAGCCACCAGGGAAGTCTGAAAAGAATTTTTTTTCTCTTTTTTTAAACAGTTGGAACATGGTGCATAAGTCCCGTCTTTGTTGTAGGGGTCTGGGGTTCATTCCGTGCTTTTCCTTTGGGTACTGAATTCTGCATTCAGTTAGGAAACATCACATTCAAGTTACTTCTCGTCCTCCGACCTCGTTGCCGTTCTGTTTCTGCCTGGAATGCTCCAAACGATGCTTCAATCAGCTACTTCTTTGTTCCTTGATCTGAAAGGACCAGCGTTATCCTTAGATTCGTTGTTGGGAAATTAATGTACTCCAGGAAAGTGTCATGTGATCTTTAAGGCCCATTCAAGCACGGACCCCAGAGTGATTCATGCTCCACATTTTGCTGGTTACCAGACCACAGGTCAACAGGGTAGGGTGTGTGCAAAAGGATGTTTGTACTCAGGCAGCCTAAGAGACAGGGAAGGAGCCAAATGAACAAATCAGCTCAGAGTCCAAAGCATATTCCTAGACGGCTTAGGACCAGAAGTTTGGACTCCTTTCCTTTTTTTCCCCCAGTTTTAAACATTGTGTTAGAATATACAGACCATAAAATTTACCATCTTAACCACACTTAAGTTTACAGTTTGGTGGCATTAAATACTTCTACAGTGTTGTGCCACTGTCACCACCATCCATCCACAGAACATTTAAAAAAATATTTATTTTATGGGTTGATGGGACTTTTAAAACATTTTATTTGTTTGACTGAGTTGGGTCTTAGTTGTGGCATACAGGGTCTTTGGTTTTCTTTGCGGCATGTGGGATACCTGACCAGGGACTAAACCTGGGTCACCTGCACTGGGAACACAGAGTCTTAGCCACTGGATCTCCAGGCAAGTCGCCAGAACATTTTTATCTTCCTAAATTGAAATGCTGTCTCTATTCAACACTGGCTCCCAAATCTCACCTCCCCCAGCCCCTAGAACCCAGCATTCTAGTTTTTGTCTCTCTGTATGATTTTTGCCAACTCTAGGGATCTCCTTTAAATGGAATCATTCAGTGCTAGTACTTTTATGAGTGGCTTATTTTACTGAGCACAGTGTCCTCCAGATTCATCCATGTTGTGGAGTGTCCTTCCTCTTAAAGGCTGAATGATATTCCGTTGTATGTATTTCCACTTTCTGTTTACCTGTTCTTCCATGAACAAGGCGGCCGTGAACATGGGTGCCCAAAGGCCTCACGCATCTGCTTTCACTTAATGCTCAGGGCATACGGGCTCCGGTGAGGGTCAGCTGTGAGGTGCACATGGCCTGAGAGAAGGGCAAGTTGCACCTAGTGCAAGACGAGCCATGACTCCCTTCTTGGTGTTTTTCTGTACTTTACAAATTGACATGTTCACTCAGTTCTTTAAAAATACAAGGGGTGTGTCATCTAACAGTGTTACCAGTTGGAAAATGTGATTAAATCCAATTGACCCAGTCATAAGTGAAATCAGCGTGTCTGTCTTTGACTGACTTCACTTAGCATGGTGCCCTCAGGTCCATCCATGTTGTCGCAAATGGCAAGTTTATTCTTTTTTATGGCTGAGTAGTATTCCTTTGTGTGTGTGTGTATATATATATGTATTTATGTAAATATATTAATGAAAATTTTATGTATGTAATTATACCAAGCTGTTAGTATTTTCTTTATATATGTAGAGGCTCCTATGTAGGGTGCATAAATAGTACTTCTTGTTGTTTAGTTGCTAAGTTGTGTCTTACTGTTTGCAACTCTATGGATTGCAACCCGCCAGGCTCCTCAGTCCATAGGATTTCCCAGGCAAGAATACTGGAGTGGGTTGCCATTTCCTCCTCCAGCATAAATATTTACAAATGTTACATCCTCTTGTGGACTGATCCTTTTATCATTGTGTGATGCCCTTTGTGTCTCTCATCACAGACTTTGTTTTAAAGTCTATTTTGTTTTAAAGTATAGCTGTTGCAGCTTTCTTTTGGTTTCCACTTGCATGGGACATCTTTTTCCACCCCTTCATTTTCAGCCTATGTTTGTTCTTACATCTGATGTGTAGATAGCATATAGATGGGTCTTGTTTTTTTTTTTTAATTCATCAGCACTGTCTTTTTTTTTAAAGTCAGTCTTTTTCTTTTTTTAGTTTAAATTATTTTTATTTTATTTTTTCCCCAATTATTTTTATTAGTTGGAGGCTAATAACTTTACAATATTGTAGTGGTTTTTGCCATACATTGACATAACTCAGCCATGGATTTACATGTGTTCTCCATCCTGAACCCCCCTCCCACCTCCCTCCCCATCCCATCCCTCTGGGTCATCCCAGTGCACCAGCCCTGAGCAGTCTGTCTTTTGATTAGAAAATTTAACCAATTTAAATTTAAAGTTATTATCGATGTGTATATACACATGCCCATTTTGTTACCTGGTTTCTGACTGTTTAGTAGTTTCTCTGCTTCTTCTTACTCTCTCCCTTGTGGTTTGATGACTTTCTTTAGTGTTCTTCTTAGATTCCTTTCTATTATGTATATGTTGTAGTTAAGAGTTATTTTAACTACTTTAGTTTCTTAACCTTCATATTAACTTTATAATGATAAATCCACGTTTTGCCTTTTTATATAGTTCATGGGGTTCTCACAGCTGGTATACTGGAGTGGTTTGCCATTCCCTTCTCCAGTGGATCACATTTTGTCAGAACTGTTCACTATGACCTATCCATCTTGGGTGGCCCTAAATGGCATGGCTCATAATTTCAAGTTAGGCATGAACGTGGGCAAACTCTGGGAGATGGTGAGGGACAGAAAAGCCTGGTGGGGTCCTGAAGAGCTGGACACGACTTGGTGACTGAACAACAACAATCTACTACCTTTACCTTTTTCAGTGAGAATTAGACTTTCATATATTTTCTTTTTACTAATTAGAGCTAAAAATCGTTCTTTTCACATTTCTTATAAGGCTGGTTTACTTGTGATGAACTGTTACTTTTTGCTTGTCTGGAAGACTCTTTATCTCTCTCTCAGTTCTTAATGATAACTTTGCCAAGAGAGTGTTATTGGTTGGAAATGCTTTCTTTCAGCACTTTGAATATATTGTGCTACTCCTTACTGGCCTACAAAGTTTCTGCTGAAAATACTGCTGATGGTATATTGGGGCTTCTCTTGTATATAAGTTGTTTTTATCTTGCTGCTTTTTTAAAGTATAGATTTACAATATTACATTAGTTTCAAGTGTACAACATAGTGAATACATATTTTTATAGATTATACCCCATTAAAAATTATTACAAAGTAATGATTATAATTCCCTGTGTTGTACAATACATCCTTGCTGGCTATGAATTTTATACACAGTAGTTTCTATAACTTAGTCCCATACTGCTAACATGCCCTTCCCCATTTCCCTCTCCCCAGAGGTAACCACTAGTTTACTTTTTCTATCTGTGAGCCTGTTTTAGTTTTGATATATATACTCATTAGTTTTATATTCCAGAAATAAATATCATACAGTATTTGTCTTTCTCCATCTGATTTATTTCACTAAGTGTATTTTCTAGGTCCTCCCACGTTGCTGCAAATGGCAGCGACTCCTTTTTTTCTTATGACTGAGTAATATCCCATTGTGTGTGTGTGTGTGTAGTAATATCCCATTGTGTGTGTGTGTGTGTAGTAATATCCCATTGTGTGTGTGGTAACAGTCCATTGTTCTGTGTGTGTGTAGTAATATCCCATTGTGTGTGTGTGTGGTAACAGTCCATTGTTCTGTGTGTGTGTAGTAATATCCCATTGTGTGTGTGTCGTAATATTCCATTGTTCTGTGTGTGTGTGTAGTAATATTCCATTGTGTGTGTGTGTGGTAACATTCCATTGTTCTGTGTGTGTGTAGTAATATCCCATTGTGTGTGTGTGTGGTAACAGTCCATTGTTCTGTGTGTGTGTAGTAATATCCCATTGTGTGTGTGTCATAATATTCCATTGTTCTGTGTGTGTGTAGTAATATCCCATTGTGTGTGTGTGTGGTAATATTCCATTGTTCTGTGTGTGTGTAGTAATATCCCATTGTTTGTGTGTAGTAATATCCCATTGTGTGTATGTATAGTAATATCCCATTGTGTGTGTGTGTGGTAACAGTCCATTGTTCTGTGTGTGTGTAGTAATATCCCATTGTGTGTGTGTCGTAATATTCCATTGTTCTGTGTGTGTGTAGTAATATCCCATTGTGTGTGTGTGTGGTAATATTCCATTGTTCTGTGTGTGTGTAGTAATATCCCATTGTGTGTGTGTGTGTAGTAATATCCCATTGTGTGTGTGTCGTAATATCCCATTGTGTGTGTGTCGTAATATTCCATTGTTCTGTGTGTGTGTAGTAATATCCCATTGTGTGTGTGTGTGGTAACATTCCATTCTTCTGTGTGTGTGTAGTAATATCCCATTGTGTGTGTGTGTAGTAATATCCCATTGTGTGTGTGTGTAGTAATATCCCATTGTGTGTGTGTGTGGTAATATTCCATTGTTCTGTGTGTGTGTAGTAATATCCCATTGTGTGTGTGTAGTAATATCCCATTGTGTGTGTGTGTGGTAACATTCCATTGTTCTGTGTGTGTGTGGTAATATCCCATTGTGTGTTTGTGTAGTAATATTCCATTGTTCTGTGTGTGTGTAGTAACATCCCATTGTGTGTGTGTAGTAATATCCCATTGTGTGTGTGTGTGGTAACAGTCCATTGTTCTGTGTGTGTGTAGTAATATCCCATTGTGTGTGTGTGTAGTAATATTCCATTGTTCTGTGTGTGTGTAGTAATATCGCATTGTGTGTGTGTGTAGTAATATTCTATTGTTCTGTGTGTGTGTAGTAATATCCCATTGTGTGTGTGTGTGGTAACATTCCATTGTTCTGTGTGTGTGTAGTAATATCCCATTGTGTGTGTGTGTAGTAATATTCCATTGTTCTGTGTGTGTGTAGTAATATCCCATTGTGTGTGTGTAGTAATATCCCATTGTGTGTGTGTAGTAATATTCCATTGTTCTGTGTGTGTGTAGTAATATCCCATTGTGTGTGTGTGTAGTAATATTCCATTGTTCTGTGTGTGTGTAGTAATATCCCATTGTGTGTGTGTGTAGTAATATTCCATTGTTCTGTGTGTGTGTAGTAATATTCCATTGTGTGTGTGTGTGGTAACATTCCATTGTTCTGTGTGTGTGTAGTAATATCCCATTGTGTGTGTGTAGTAATATCCCATTGTGTGTGTTTAGTAATATTCCATTGTTCTGTGTGTGTGTAGTAATATCCCATTGTGTGTGTGTAGTAATATCCCATTGTGTGTGTGTGTGGTAATATCCCATTGTGTGTGTGTGTGGTAATATCCCATAGTGTGTGTGTGTGTACAGTAATATCCCATTGTGTGTGTGTGTGTAGTAATATCCCATTGTGTGTGTGTAGTTATATTCCATTGTGTATGTGTGTGTGGTAATATCCCATTGTGTGTGTGTACAGTAATATCCCATTGTGTGTGTGTGTGTACAGTAATATCCCATTGTGTGTGTGTGTACAGTAATATTCCATTGTGTGTGTGTGTGTACAGTAATATCCCATTGTGTGTGTGTGTACAGTAATATTCCATTGTGTATGTAGTAATATCCCATTGTGTGTGCATGTACAGTAATATTCCATTGTGTGTGTTTAGTAATATCCCACTGTGTGTGTGTGTGTGTGTGTGTGTAGTAATATTCCATTGTGTGCATATATACAGTAATATTCCATTGTGTGTGTGTAGTAAGATTCCATTGTGTGTGTGTGTAGTAAGATTCCATTTGTGTGTGTAGTAATATCCCATTGTGTGTCTGTGTGTAGTAATATTCCATTGTGTGTGTGCATGTATGTACAGTAATATTCCATTGTGTGTGTGTAGTAATATTCCATTGTGTGTGTGCATAGTAATATTCCACTGTGTGTGTGCATAGTAAAATCCCATTGTGTGTGTATGTAGTAATATTCCACTGTGTGTTTGTGTAGTAATATTCCATTGTGTGTGGGTACAGTAATATTCCATTCTGTGTGGAATTTGCAGTGCTTCCCTGGTAGTTGCTTCAGTTTATATTCAGTTCATGTGGATAGGCTTGTATGAAGACTGTGATTTGGTTCTGGAGGAATAACACAGACTCTTGGTTTGCCATGAAACACATGTGGGCTTGCTTGACGCACTTGCTGGATCCACTAGAAGCAACACTTGTATGGAGAGAGCTCTTCCCCCGCCACACTAGCTTGGGGTCAAGAGGGTTCAACTCAAGAAATGTTTCCTTATAAAGCTCCCTGGGAAAGGGAATGTGGAAAATGGTGCTTGTTTCCTGGAGGGGGCACCATTCCTTAGGAAACTGTCTAGTAAAGCAAAGTTCTCAATTCCTGAAAGTTACCTTTTTATGAAGATCCTGAAGAAAATAAGATAAATGAGGAAACATGGAAAAGGAACTTGTGTGTTGACTTGGGAGGTCTTTGGGATAAGAAATGTGTAGCAAGTTGATGTCAGAGGCAGAAAGGAGTAGGTGTGATGTTGGAAGAAAAAGTTAACCACCGAATAGTATTTCTGCCCATCAGGAAACACTTCTTGAAGGTTATCTGATATTAAATTAGGATCTCAGCACCAGCATTTTCCAGACATCTTTGTGACTTACCACAAGATGCCACTGCCAGTCTTTGACTGCTCTCTGTAAAACTGAGACACTGCATAACCACTGATTGGTGGACAGGGTCTCCTTGTCGGCTGCAAGTCTGGTTCTCCTGAAGTGTCACAGGCTCTGGGGCTGGGAACATGTGGCACTACAAGGTCACGTGACCTGCACTCCCCAGCTGGTCAGCCAGGTACCTGCATCTCTGACTCCACCCCTGAGTCAACTCAGAACATGGATCCAGCCTCAGTACCCACCTCTCCAGCTGCCCCTCACAAGTGTGGGGTCACTCTAGAAGTGCTGCTGGTGTTCCCTCACAATGGAAAGGGCTGTCTGTAGCCCAGCGTCAGGGAGGGTGTAGTGCAATGCCTCATGCTGGTAAAGCATATGTGCTATTTCTTCCAGGAATTGTTGGTGCTTGTTGCTGTCACCTTGACATTTGTAATTTACTGCATGAGTGGATCTTGATGTATTTATCATTGGCACTACTAGATGTATAATTGTTATTGGAAATTTTTCAAACCAGGGTGTATTTCCAAAAAGCTGCATGGTTAGTTTTTCAGTAAAGCTTTTTCATATTGACTTCCAAAGAAGGTTCTGGACCTAAGACACAACCACCTCCTGTCAAATACGAGTGCAATTTGTCATTTGAAATGCCCTACTGCCTACTTCACTCTGATCCCATTTTCCCCTCTGTAAAATGGGACTACTGCTGCTTGCCTGTGAAGAATGTGTGAGCATTAAGGGAACAAACCTGGCACACGAGAGGCACTTGGTAAATATTAGAGGCATTTCATCCTGAGGGTAAGTTTATCTCTGCTGATCATTAACACACATTCTCTCTGATATTTAGAACCAGCTGGAAAGTATTAAAAGCAAAGAAAGAGTTTTTATTCTTTGATATATAAAAACCAAGAAAACTTTCATGTGTATACAACATAGTTTTTTTTTTTCTTTTTTTTAAGAAGAAAATTGCAGAAATATAGACTTGGGTAGAAAAATACACTCAAGCAGCTGCTCAAGACAATTTGTAACTCCTAAAATTATGAACAATAGCACACAAATCTCAGCATAAGCCTTTTTTTTCCTTTAAAACATTATTCACATTTGTTTAACAACTTAAGATATGGTAAGAAATATAACTTTCCTTCTTGGTAACACATCTTGTTTTTTGAGAAGATATTCAGTGACCAGCAATAACTTAGTGATAGAATCTTTACCTTAGAATTTTGGTTCTATGACACTTGTCATAGTAAAAGAAATACTTCCTACTCCTGGGGCCCCAAAATGCTCATATAGTTGATTGGAGGCCATAAACTTGGGGGGTCCTAGACCTCAGAGGGGGAGCATCTTTGGTCTTCCCTGTATTTTAGTACCAAAACAGACAGTGATCCTGGCATACAAATAACAAAAACAAAGGTGCAGGAGACCATAGCTACTCAGTAAAAGCTATTTATGTCCAATAAATAGTTTCCAAAAATAATTTTCTTTTCACTTAATGAATTCAGGAGAAATAAAAACATTGTGATACACTGACATCTGTTATCAAACTGACATCCATTAAGTCAGTTCTGCCACTGACCAGCAGGGAGTGCTAGACCACAGGAGAAGCAGCTGCATAGTTTCCCAAAGGGCAACCTACAAAAATACCTGTATTTACATGAAAACTTTTTGGGTGAAAAAATTTAGTTTTCAAAGGATAAATGTAACATTTTCTCCTCAACACTGGGTTCAAGCAAAAAATACACTTCATATAAAATTTGGATGAAACATGAATAAACTTTAAGATGACTAAATATGTAAATATTGGTAGAATATCAAAGGGAAATGATAATGAATTTACTCTGTGTTAAAAATCTTTACATTTCATGTGACTTGTTATTTAAAAGCAAAGATGCAGAACACATACATCTGAATGGCTGAGACCTCTCAGAAGCCCGAGTGACGTGTGGCTGGCTTGGCCACCATTCCTCATGGAAACACATCATAACCACCCTCAGAGTCACAGTCCCAGGAACCGACTGGTGTTTATCTCAGAGTAGGTAATGGCTTTTGATCACAGATGGTGAGCTGCACCTCCCAATCTCTTCCAAAGTTAAATTCACCTTCAAAGGCCTCACAAAGTTGCCCACAGGGCAAGTCCGCCGCCACAACCACCATGACCGCTTCACATGGGTTCTCTCTTCCCAGTGAGGTGGCTATTTGAGACAGGACTACAAACTGTGAAATTCTGAAATTTATCCTCTGCAGTCACGCTTAGTACAGGTTTGTGTGCACTTGCTCTTAAATTCCAGTCTCTGCCTTCTTGCCACATTCTGCCTTCACAGCCTTCTGGCCCATCAGCAGGATCAGTGCAAGTCTGCAGGAAAGCACAGTGAAAATGTGACAACTATTTACTGGGTTGGCCAAAAACTTTCTTCAGGCTTTCCCAGAGAATCTTACAGAAAAACCCGAATGAGATTTTTGGCCAACCCAATACAAAAGTAATTTAAAGGCTTAATTTAAAAAAGTATGTTTTTAAAATTTAAAAATGAAATATTTTCTGCATTTAGGTCATTTCTACCACTTCACAAAGGTGCTGGACCCTATACCTGGGCTAGTATAGACTGTGCATGTGTGTGTATTTTATGTTCTATGGAGAAACTATAAAAATAGCATTTTTTCTATTCATGAGTTGAAAGAATAGGGTTATGGATGAAATGGGAGGGATAAGTAAAAACAACAAATAGGAGGAATGAAGTATACAATTTTTTCTTATTTTAAAATTGGAATAAAATTTTAGAAGTATTTCTCCTTGGTAAACTGAGCTGTCTGGTGCCTGGCCCTACAGGGTGACCGCCGGCCCATGCTCCTCCACCCCTCCTGGGGGCAGGGCCAGGCTGTGGCGGGGGTCAGAGCGGAGCGAGCTGAGAAGCCTCTGGACGCTGCCCTCTCGCCCGGGGCTGTGCAGGCCGGGCGCCAGGCCCGCGCCGTTGACGCGCGTGAGGCTGCCTGGAGGCGGCCTGGGCGCCAGCCGAGGCTCCAGCACGCCCTCGAGGACCACGTCGGCCTCCTCGTCACTCTCCATCTCGTCCGGGGGCAAGTTCTGCAGGACGTGGGCCATGGGCAGGCTGTGGCGGCTGGCCGTGCTGTCCGAGGAGCGGCCAGAGCTGCCTGAGGCGCGGCTGCCCCGCACCACGTTGTTCCTCTGGTTGGCGGGCTTGACCGTCACGATGAGGTTGTGGCTGTTGGCGATCATCATGTCCGTGACCTGGTCCAGTGTCTTCCCGGCCACCTCGATCCCGTTCACCTCCAGGACCTCGTCATCCACGGCCAGCAGCCCGGTGCTCTCGGCGAGGCCGCCAGGCACCATGCGGGAGATGAAGACGCCGGGCACCTTCTCCAGCCCCTGTGGGGCCACACGCACGCTCGTGCCATCGCGAATGTAGAAGCCCAGCGGCTTCTGGCAGCCATGCCGGTACAGCCTCACGCGGCGGTGCGTCTCGGGGACGATGTCCACGTCGATGATGGAGGACACGGGGCGGAAGTCGTGCGGTAGGCCGATGTGCAGGTGTGTGCGCCGGCAGGGGCCGTCTTCCCGCAGGGCTAGTGGGCGCCGCCGCCTGGACAGCGAGCCCGCCCCGAAGCTGCAGTGCTCAGCCTCTTCTGGAAGGGCACAGAGAGGACAGTGAGAGCACAGATCGGGGGCAGCCGGGAAGCACAAGTCAGGCTGCACTGAACACTCAGAGCATCACGTAAGTCCTGACTTTCTGCAGCTCTCCTCCCACCACCTCTCTCATGTGTTGTGTGACCCCAGGAAGTCTGAGATGGTGAGGAAATCAAATGGTGTAAAGAACCAAATAAAACACAAAGCTCCCACGCATGCCTTGGAGCTGAATCATCAATTCATTTTGTCACACGTCAGCTTTTGGGAGAGTCTCGGCTTCCTGGATGACATGCAGGCTACTGCAATAACTTCACTAGCGGTTTTGATTAGCCTACAGCAATCCTGTGCATCAGCCAAACTGGCCCAGCAATATTCACCAGGCAAATGTTGGATGCCACGTTCAAGCACAATCACCTCCCTAAATTCAGCTATACAGGCAACCAACAAAATAGTTGGAAGGTTAAGACAACTAACAACAGATGCAAGTGTTAAATGTGCCTGACTGGGTTCTGCAGTGACAGGGGAGCAGACACCAGTAATGGGCCCCACCTGGACAACAACTGCAGGGGCAGTCTGTCTGATGTAACTAATTTGGAACTTGAGAGTCTGTTGAAGGCTCAACTTCTAAGGGAAGAGCTGGATGCTAATGGCAGTCAATTCTGGGTAATTTCAACTCTTAGCACAGTAGCAGCTACCTAGTCCACCCCCAGCCTCCTGGCAGGCAGCTGTGCACTGATCCTGGAGCAGTTTGTGGGACCTGTCCTCCAAACATCAGGTATCTGCTCTGACTACTGATTTCTCCTCCTCATCACAAAGGTGTAGAGGGGTGGGTGGCTATTGCTGCACCTCCCTGTGTTGTTGCAAGCCCCTCCCCTTCCACCTGAAGGAACATCCCGGAGAGCGAGAGGACTGGCACCCTTTCTCTCCCTTCATTTTTCACCTTTTCCCATTTTGGGAGCCAAAGTTTCAAGTCCAGGACATTAAAAACAGCTGCATATATAGGGAAAGTTAGAAAGTGACTGTGCATGCTCAAGGAAAGGCTCAGAAAGGACCTTAGAAGACCTTAAGTTCACACTTTAATGTTGATACTCAGCACAAAGACAGTCTACAGCAATTAAAAAAAATAGCAACCATAGCAAATCCTGGGGAAGGGGTACAATCTAACTTCCAGAGCTACCACATTTTGAATCCCCATTGTTCAACAACAACAGAGAATCGCAAAGCCTGCAAAGAAACAAGAGTGTGCCCTCACTCAAAGGAAAATCATCATAGAAACTGCCCCTGAAACAGCCTGATGGCAGATTTACTAGACAAAGACTTTAAAACAATGGCCTAAGACATGATCAAAAACAAAAAGATACTGGCAAGTCAAGAAAACAATGTGTGAACAAAATGGAAATATCAATAGAGAGACAGAAAACCTAAAAGGAAACTAAATAGAAATTCTGGAGATGAAATTACAATAATGGAAAGTAGTGAATGGGGGATTCCAAGGCAGATTTGAGCAGGCAGAAGAAGGAATTGGTGAACTTGAAGACAGGACAGTAGAAGTTATCCTTTCTGAGGAAAAACAACAAAAGATTAAAGGAAAGTGAACAGAGCCTAAGCAATCACCCGGACACCATTAAGCAAACTGACATGTAGTTTGTGAGAGTCTCAGAAGGAGAAGAGAAAAGGGTGGAGGGACTATTTGAGGAAATAATGTCTAAAAACTCCCAAATGTGATGAAATGTGCAAATGTAAATGCCCATGCTCAACAGCCTCTAAGTCAGAAGAAGTCAAAGAGACCCAAGATGACAATATAATCAAGCTTAATTAAGACACTATGTAATTTTACATGCTCCAGAACCCAGAAGCAGTAATATGAAAGGAGGCTGGGGCAGACCCAAATGTTGATCTCAGAGAGTCTCCTGGGTAGGTAGGAGGTGACTGCAGATCACCCTAGGGACACAGATGCTGGTGGCAGTCATTTAGGGGAACTCATTCTGTCACTTGGACTCTAGCACTAGAAAGTGCCATCTTTGACTTCTCCCTCTAGCTTATTAGCTTCAGGACCCAGCCCCTCCCTTGCCTAACAGTCTGTAGGCACCAGCAGTGGGAGCTGGGCAGGGACACAGCACCACCTACCAGCATGCAGGTTGCCTAAAGACCCCCTGAGTCCACAGCCACTCCTGCAAACACCTTCTCCACCAGAAGGCCCTGACATCACACATTGGAGCTACATCCAGTGTTCCCCTAGGCACACTGCAGCTAGAGACTCAGGACCCAGCTCTGCTCACCAATGAGCCTCAGAGCCCCCTGAGTCCTGGCCACCAGCAGACAGACACCAGCCCCAGGAACACTGCAACCAGAGACTCCAGGACCCAGCTTCACCTGCCAGTGGGTAGACCCTGGCCATAGAATTACTGCAGCTTACCTTATCGGGTCTCAGGCCATCAGCAAGCTGACAACAGTCTTAGGATATCTCAGGATCCAGTCGTCAACACCACTCCACCCCCAACCCAACAGTGGGATGAAACCTGCTATGAAATCCCAATGACCTTTCAGTGAGAGGCCTCAGGACCTGGCTTCAACCACCAGTGAGCCAGAACTAGCCCCTGGACCCCCAGTCCCCAGAATCACCCACCTTAAAGCCAACAGCAGCTCTGAGATACCTTAGACTCCTCAGCCAGCTGTCCAAGGAGAAAGTCCCACTCACAAGCAGGCCAGTATCAGCTGTGGGATACTGGAGAACCTACCCACCAACAGGCCAACACTAGATCCAGGAACTCTGGTTCTGCAGCCATCTATCCATCCCGGAACCAGGCTCTGCCCAACAGTGAGCACCAGACCTGTGAGCAGCCAGGGTTTTGCAGCCAGCTGCCCTGTGACCTGGCTCTGCCACCTGGAGGCCAGCGGTCTCCACCCAGAGTAGAGCCTGGCAAACCAGCAGACGGGGCCAGCTGCACCTACCAGACTGCCCATAGAGTCATCCTGCCGCAACAAAAGGGCCCACAAGCCCTCATGCAGCATATAGCTCTGGTGACCAGAGAGGTGTGTGCTGTGAGGAACATATGACATCTCCTAAAAAAGGCTGCTTCTCTAAGATCAGGAAATGCAACCAACATATGAGATACACAGAAATAAAAACAGCAAATGAGGCAATAGAGGAACAGATTCCAAATGAAAAACAAACAAACAAAAAAAACAGAACCAAGAGAAATAGAGATAAGCAGTTTACCTGGTAAATAGCTCATGGTAATGATCATAAAGGTAATCAAAGAACTTGGGAAAAGAATGGATGAGCAGATTGAAAAGTTAGAAGTTTTAAACAAAGAGCAAGAAAAAATAAAGAATGATCAGAGAGATACAATAACTAAAATGAAAATACACTAGAAGGAATCAACAGCAGATTAAATGATGCAGGTATGGATCAGCGAGCTGGAAGACAGAGTAGTGGAAATCGGAGTAGTGGAAGCTGAACAGAAAAAAATGAAATGAGGACAGTTTAAGAGTTCTCTAGGATAATATCAACTGTACTAACAATTGCATCAAAGGGGTCTCAGAAAGAGAAAAAGGGACTGCAAATACACTTAGGATATACTAGCTGAAGACTTCCCTAACCTGGGAAAGGAAGCAGACATCCAGGTCCAGGAAGTAGAAAGCCCATGCAGGATCAATCCAAAGAGGACCACACCAAGATAATTTGTATTTAAAATGGCAGAAATTAAGATAAAGAGAATATTAATGGCAACATTACTATTAAAGGCAAAAGCAAGAGCAACACACAAGGGACTTTTCAGCAGAAACTCTGCAAGCCAGAAGGGAGTGGCACCATATATTTAAATTGATGAAAGGGGAAAACTTACAATCAAGAATATTCTACTTGGCAAGGTTCTCATTCAGATCTGATGGAGATCAAAAGTTTTACAGGCTAGGCAAAAGCTAAAAGAGTTCAGCACCATGAAACCAGCCTTACAAGAAATGTTAAAAGGACTTCTTTAAGCAAACAAGAAAAGACTACAACTAGAAACATGAAAACTACTAAAGGAATAAAGCTCACCAGTAAAACCAAATATATAGGAAAGATAGTAAACCTACCACATACAATGGTAGTAGGAAAGTTAAAAGACAAAAGTAGTACATCATTTGTATCTGCAATAGGTAGTTTAGGGATAGAAAAAAATATGTAAAATGTGATGTCAAAACAGTAATTGTGGGGGGAGGGGAGTAAAACTGCAGAGTTGTTTAAATGTGTTTGGAATTGTGAGATCAACAATTTATCATCCCTTATGGTAACCACAAACCAAAAACCTCTAATACAAACAAAAGAGAAAGTTTTCCAAACATAACACTAAGGATGCTATCAAAAGACAAGGGAGCAAAAGAAGAAAGGATCAAAAAAAAAGCTACAAAACAACTCAAAATTAACTAAAATGACAATAAGTATGTACCTATTAATAATTACTTTCAATGTAAATGGACTAAATCCTCCAATCAAAAGATACAGAATGGCTGAATGCCTACAAAAACAAGAGTCATGTATATGCTGCAGGAGACTCACTTCATATCTAAAAACAGACACAGACTGAAAGGGGATAGAAAAAATTTATTCCATGCAAACGGAAATGGAAATAAAGCCAAGATAAGAATACTAGACAAAATAGACGTTAAGATAGACTGTAACAAGTAACAAAGAACAACATTAAGTAATGATCAAGGTATCACTCAAGTAAAAAGATGTAATAGTTGTAGATATATATGTACTAAATGCAGTAGAACCTAAATACAGAAAGCAAATATTAACAGACATAAAGGGAGAGACTGACAGTAGCACAGTAATAGTGAGGATCTTTACCATCCCACTAACATCAACAAGGGCTTCCCTGGTGGCTCAGTGGTAAAGAATCTGCCTGCCAATGCTGGAAATGTGGGTTCAGTCCCTGGGTTGGGAAGACCTCCTAGAGAAGGAAATGGCAACCCGCACCAGTATTCCTGCCTGGGAAACCCCATGGACAGA